GGAGCAGAAAGAGCCCCTAAATTAGCAGGAACAATAACACCTGTCAGGAAGGGGAAGCAAGGACCCCCACGCAGTATGCTCTGCACTCTGGGACCGAGTCTGAATTGCAAAGAACTTGAAGATGGATTCAGTATTGACCTTGTAAATGGAGAGGAGAAAGTTAGTGTTTTCTTCCCTTTCTTGGGGGTTAGAGTGTACATTCTCTTTAAGGTGACCTCGTGGTTCTCCCAATTACAGCTTGCCTGACAGCTGGTGTAGATACTGTTCAAGGATTGCCTTGCCGGGAGTCAGTAGGGTTTGTGGGACAGATGTTCCTGCCTGAGCTGAGTAATGGCCATAGGGGACCTGACCTGAGGAAACACTATTTAAGGTGGGACTATCGGGAGAAATTAGTGAAGAAGGAGTGAAGCTGGGGAGATAACCTCCCAAGAACCCTGCTATTTTCGTGGGGCAGGCAAAGCCAGTAGGCTGAAGTCCCTCTTGACACACCAATTCTGAGATCTGAACATTCTTGTCTTTTGGAAAAATGCAGCTCCTTTTCAGCCAATGGAGAAAATTGTAAGACATGTAGCTGAAATATTTCTAAGGGTCCTTGGACTTAATTGTTGAAATTCTCCCTGGAGTTTGGTTTCCAAAAATCAAGAATCCTGTCTAATTGAGTTCTCAAGGAAACTGTCACACAAAGTGATCTGTGGTCAGGCCAACCTCACATCACAAACCCAGCAGGGCAAAGCTGCCCGTTGCTGATTGTTATGGTCCAGCTTGCTAAGATGTACCCGTGGCTATCTTTGAAATCACCTTGGCAGTGGCCAGTGAAATGCTCAGAATTCAGTAAACCTTTGATGATGGGGTGTGAATGTTCTAATCTTGGGAACCAAAGGTTTGAAGATTGAGTTCCAGCCTTAACCAATCGTTCAAAATACATATGTATTCTACTTAATTTATAAGACAAACCACCCTCAGCTGTTCACCTAAATTAGAGGCCAGAAAACTATAGCCTGTGAGCCAAATCTGGCTGCTGTCTAGTTTTGTAAATAGTTTTATTGGAACATAGCCACACCCTCTTGTTTGCATGTTGTCCATAGCTGCTCTTGCCCCGTAATGGCCGGATTGGGAAGTCGCAACAGAGACCATACTGCCACAAAGCCTTAAAATATTTACTCTCTGGCCCTTAATGGTGAGGTTTGCCTACCCAGCATCCATGGAAAGACTTAAGGGATTTATACAGATGAAGAAAGGACTCCTGGCATTTGGGGAGGACTCAGTAACAGGGCAGATGATTGAAACAGGACACCACTGCTCACTGCTCTCCTGTTCTCTCCTTAGTAGCTGGTCTCCCAGAAAGAGGAAATGAGGAGGCATCCTTATGGTTTTTCTGTCTTCCTACCTGCTTCTTACCAGTGTCATTCTTGCCACATGTCACAAGGCCTGATCCTTGTTAAACCATCATAAGAATGGGGTCTATGGGATCTTTTTACATAGCTATTGATCTTTTATGCATGAGCCCAAGAGCCCATCAAAACGCATGGGAAGGCGTTGAAGCATAAGGCAGTTTGCCTTGCAAGTAAAGTATGTAAGAAGTAGTCAGATGTTTGCCTCTAGCTAGCTCCATGACCAGAATGTAGCTACAGATGGGTCTGTTTGGTATTAGATATTTGATTTTCTCTAAGACTCCAGAGCAGAGAACTGTCTTTCATCCTGGGTCTGCCAAATGATGATGGGAAAGTCACTTTACTCCTCAGCATCAGGCTCCTCATCGGTGAGGCAGGTGCAAAAGTGCAGGATGCTGGTGGATTAGATTGATCACATGTGAAGGCTTGGCAAGGTACCTGGCATAAAGAAGTCCTTCTAGAAAGCATAGCAGATGATCCTGGCTGGTTATTAACCCACTTATCATTTCCTCCAAAATTTAATTTGGTAAGTTCTATGGAGGAATTCTGTACCGAAGGCAGAAGGGCCTCCAGAAGAAGGCAAGCTTTAGGGTTATATCATTACCCTTCTCCCTGTTGCCCCGGTTTTTATTTTCTACTTTTCAGTTATGCATGTAATAAGTCAGCCAGCTACAGTTGTGAGGGACTGTATTAGATTGTGTGTGGGGTTACGGGTGGGTTTGAAGATGATGATGATGCCCCTTTCTTACAGAGTCTCAGGAACTTATGAGGACCTCAGGCAAAGAGCTGGTCTTCCATTCTGAGAGTCCTCAGGGAGGGAGAGAGTCCCTTGAGCCCACTGTTCTGCCCTCAGGCCTCAGTTTCTTACATCTAGCAGATGAGGAGAGGCAGTGCTTTCCCAACCTCACCCACAGGGGGAATGGGAGGCAAGCAAACATCTAGGATTCAGCTGGTCAAGGAACTCCTAACTTCCAAGGACATTAGCCACTGCAGATACTCAACCCAAAAGAATTCCCATAGTAACAAGATAAGAGGTCAAAATCTGGCAGTGCCCTGGGCCTCCTGTGGTCCTGCAGGTGCTGGGGCCTCTCAGTGCCTCCAGCTGAGCCCACCCTAGCAGTTGAACCAACCCCCACTGCCCATCTTGGCTCGCCCACTCAGTGTGTACTTCCACATTGCCAGTCTCCATAAGTTGAATTCTCCTGACCTAGAAGATGGAAGGCTTAGCCCAAGAAATGAAGACTCAGAGACTGGGGTACAACCTGCCAACAAATGGCTGAGAAGCTTTTGGCATGGGCCTGGAGCCTTTCCCATGGGGTCTATCCATGGAGGAGGTGGTGAGGCTCGAACCTGCCTCCATGATGTAGAAGCTTACTCTCCCCCAGGAATGTAGATGGGAGAGGTGCCAGCCTCCGCTTTGGAAGACAGAGGCCCAAACTGAGATTAAAGAAGGTCAGAGCAAAAACAGAAGTGAAGGCTGAGCTCAGAATCGTATTATACACTACTGCTCTTAGTATGGGCTTTGAGCTAGCAGATCCTGTGTGATCCAAGGAATTTACACCAAGCGGGCCACATAATTTTTGCTTCCATAATGGATGATGATAGTGTCTCCCTTTGAGAGCTGTTACCAGGAATAATTTGGACAATGCACATCTGACAATTGTTATAGTTACTGAGCATGTCTGAGATCACCATAATCACCATTATCACCACCATCATCACCAGCACCATCAACGCCACCATCATCACCATCACCGTCATTTCCAACCCTTCCTCTGCCAACAAGGTCTTAGTTGGGTGTTGGGGAAGCTGCTGAATAGTTGGGGTCACTGAGACTGGTGGGTAGTGCATTGTTAATGAGACTGAGGGTGATCCCTGGGGCATACCTAGCTATCAATCCCATTGGAAAGCTGATTTGCAGTCTTATATGAGAAGGCAAACTGGCCCAGAGGTTTATTGCAGGTGTCACAACTTGGGCACATGTGTATGTTCAGCCATTGGCTAGGACCAGCAGTGAAGGTTGCCACTTTAGAAAATGGGCACTAGTGCAGCTGCTCCCTAGAAGGGGGCACTGTGGCTTAGTTGGTCAAAACTGATGCTGCTTGGCATGCAGTTAGGTGCTCAATAACTGGTTCTTGAATTAATGGATAAAAGAATAAATGAAGGGAGTTCCATTACATTCATGTGTCTTCTCCAGTTTCCCTCGTGGTGCCTATGCTGTGGGCTCAGGATGGGAATCCCTCATGACAAACAGAAATAGTCCAGAAGATAGGCAAACAGGAAGAGAAAGCTTGTTTTCTGGTCATGCCAACTTTGAATCATTTATTAGCAATTTCCCCCACGAGGATCATATTCAGTAGAGAGGTAACATCTGTTTGCAAGCCTGTGTCCTTGGGAGACCGCCAGAAAAACCTTATATTCTGAAATCCTCCACACTGGGACCTGCGTGCTCCTTGTTCTCACCCCAGGACCTGCTGGGTTCTTCGGGGGTGATGGGCTGGACTCTGCAGGTAGACTCCAGAGGTGGACAGAGGCAAGTGCTTACACATCCCAAGTGCTTGAACATGAAGAAATTAATGTTTCCATGGGACAGGGTGCTGCCACTTGCAGGGCTCGCTGCAGAACCCCCAGGACCTTTATGGTCCAGCTCCTCAGGTAGGGTTCCTTTTGATCAGAGAACAGGGCCTTTGCAGGTGGCTTTTTTGGACCAGTGATTCCGCTGGGCATGCCCCAGTGTCCGTGTTCCAGGAAGGATGTGACAGGTGTGTTGTCTTGGGTGGGAGACCGGAGGTAGGAGCTTTACCTCCCACCACTTGCATCTGTGGTTAGTGGAAGATGGTGCAGGGGGTGGGGGCAGAGGGAGAGGGTGGGAGGGAATCCGGGTCCTCTGCCACCCCTGTCTGTGGTTAGCAGACAGCTCTCAGGTGGGGCTCAGGCTGCCCTTTTTCTGTTTCTGACTTGCTGTTTCCACTCCTCACCCCCAGGGCACCGCTGCATCCTCCTACCCCATGTATACACACACTGCAGACACAGGGCAGCGAGGCTGCACTACTGATCCTTTTCTGGGCCTTTGGAAAGTATGAGTCTCTAGGCCTGGGTCTTTTATTTTGGGAACATCATCAGGCTATGAGCATCTTGGAGGGACTCTGGAAAGAGGAAGACATTGCCCAGTGATCCAGTTATTCCTGAGTCTGCCAGGGGGTCAACCCATGACCCCTCTCCCTTACCTTCCCAATAAATCCTGGGCTGCCCTGGTCCCTCCTGTGTGTCCCCTCAAAGGCCTGGTGCTCAGAATCGAGAACTTACCCAGGTGGGAGGAAACAAAGGAAGTATGAGGTCCTGGGGGCGTGCCTCAGCCAGAGCTTACCTGGGCCAGGTGAGGGGCTTGGCAGTTGCAAGAAAGGACACAGCTGCCTGTGGGCTAGGTCACAGCTGGGGAGCCAAGAGATGCTGAGGCTCGGACTCTTTTCCTGGACTCCAGGTGAGAGCTGTCCTGGTACCCAGGGCACCTGCCAGGACCTGCTCTAAGGAGGAAAGACCCTTGCCCTTCCTGGGCTCCTTTGTCTCCTGCCCTGGTCTCATGGCTGCCCCCTCCTTCCTTTTTTCCAGGTCTGGCTGTTCATCAGATTATCACCATCACTGTCTCCCTCATCATGGTCATAGCTGCTCTGATTACAACTCTTGTCTTAAAAAACTGGTAAGGCTCCTTGGCCCCTCTGGGCTGAAAATGGGGGCTGTGGGGGGCTCCTGGGGAAGTGTGCACAGAGTCTCCTACTTTTCAAACCTGGGCTCCATTGCATCCCAGGGCATTGTTTTTCTCATTTGGGCCAGCGAATGGGGTGCAGCTCTGGCTCTTGAGACCCCTTGAGGAGCATCCTCTGAATGTGGGTTTGTGTGCAGGATGTGAGTGAGCCTAGCCCCCTCCTCCTCATTGGGCAGCAGGTGCTCCTCTTCCTGAAGCCAGTGGCTGCATTCACTCATGCCTTTCCATGCCGCCCAGCCAGTCCCAGCAGCCCCGGCGGGTCCACACCCACCTCTCGCTGCCCCCGGCTGTCCAGGCGGCAGTGCTCAGTTGGAACCCTTCCTTCCTCTTGCAGCCGCTCCGTGTCTACTGAACTAGGTTATTGCTTTGCTCCAGGGAGCCTGTCTTTGCCTATTTCCTCCTGGAAATTGGCCTACTTTGAGGTTGGCCTTGCTAGGTTTACACACCTGCTACACCCCTGGGAACACAGGGGCCCTGCTGGGTGACCCTGCTGCACACACACCTCTGAGGCCCCATCTGCCTGCAGCCACCCCTCCAGCAAATGTGTCTCCATTTGGCATCAAAGCTCCAAGTCCCTCGTAGAATAATACACCCAAATGATCCCCCTGTCACCGGCAGGTGTTGAGAGGAAACCATACGGGGCTGATGGGCGGCAGCTGCCACGAGGGTCCAGATAATGGGAATTGAGGGAAAGCCAGTCCCCAGAGTTAGCGAAGGTGGGAGGGTAGGGATTGGCACAACCTCAAAACAGACCTCAGAGCAAACCAGTGAGGCCTCCCAAAGGCCAGCAAAGCCGGGGCCTGGGGAATTTTCCGGGACAGGTGATGAGGACAGCACTCCGCTTGCCACTGCAGGGCGTCTTGGGCAGAGGCCGGCCAGCGGGCCAGAGGAGGGACTCTGGAGCCTAGGACCAGGGGGATGTGCGGCAGGACAAATTCCATGGATCATCCTGATGGCCCTCAGAGGGGACACTTGCAGTGTGACAGGCGGGCCAGCTCCCTCTTTGTTTCCCACATTTAGGTTTGCAGCAAAGCCTCAGGGAGCTCTTCTGGGGAAGACAACACAGGCAGTGGATGAAGGGGTTCATGACCTTGCGGGGGGGCTCCCCTGGCTTTTGCATTGATCTTTCCACCTTTGTTTACGGGGTGAGGCTTCTGGACCAGGAAGCAGGGCTCCTCTTGCTGGAAGGTTGAGACAGGGCACGTCCATGACTTACAGGAAGATGGGCTCATCGACCCTCGCCGCTCAGGGCCCTCCTTCTGCATTGACTCTGAGCACAGTGGGACGGGGGAGAAGGGGAGCTAGGTCCCCAGACTGGGGGCACCCCAGATTTCCTTCTAGCTGCCCTCCTCCATGGAGATGGGACTCATTCTTGTGACTTGCTGGAAGTGTGTGGGAGAGGTCCCCCATTGTCTCCTCCCTCGGCTCCCGTGGCTGATGAGGGTGGGGTTCCATGTCCATCCTTGGTGGTGTTGGGAGGCCTCTGTGGTCCAGAGGATCAGGAAAGTATCCATAGGGCGTTCAGGACAGTTCTCTCCATAGACCTGACGGCAGGTGGATGTCACCCAGTGAAGGGTGGACGATCCACTTTCATTTCCAACTTGGGACGTGGGCAGGGAAGGGGCTGAGGAGGCAGGGCTCCCCACTTAATAATTCTCCCCAGAGATAGTTACACAGTCCATTCCAGAATGAACCACCAGACCAGCCCCACCAGTACCCATCAGCTCATGGGGAAACTGAGTCAGCACCACTGCCTGGCTGACATCATTTGGCCAGATAAGGCCTCATCCCTGGGAGAACACAGCTGAGACACTTCCCTTATAATCTACCCCACAATAATGGCCACATTTAAAATTCAAATTTTATTAACAAAAAAAGAGAGAGAGAGGGAGCGAACTGATTGTTTGTGGTTGATCTTTTTGAAGAGGCTGGGAATTACCATTTAATATTAAATGACGAATAATTAATGCTTGGAGACAAAGGTCCCATGGTCTAAGTGCCGGGTTCCGGCATCTGCCCACCGCACCCCCACCCCGACTTCTCTGTCACCAGCTGTGCCCAAAGCGGGAACACGCGTAGGAATAGCCACCAGCGGAAGATCAACCAGCAGGAGGAAAGCTGCCAGAACCTGACGGACTTCACCCCTGCCCGGGTGCCCAGCAGCCTGGACATATTCACGGCCTATAACGAGACCCTCCAGTGCTCTCACGAGTGTGTCCGGGCGTCTGTGCCCGTGTACACCGACGAGACGCTGCACCCGACCGGGGAGTACAAATCCACGTTTAACGGGAACCGGTAAGCTCAGGCCTGGGCCAGACCCCGGGGCCACAGCAGTGTCGCAGGGGCCCTGTTGACCAGTGGGGGGCATCCTTCACGTGTTTCTGCAGGGCAGGGAGGGGTGAGCAAAGGGACACAGCTCCTCTAGTGAAACGAGAGGGGCGGGCAAACATAGAAGGTGTTGCGGCACCCAGAGACAGAACGGAGCAGTCAGCGTTGACTTCCAGACTCCACACTTGGGGAGGAGACAGGCAGCCCCCCACCCCCTGGACACCCTGGGGTGGAGGCTGGGCAGGCGTCATGCCAGCCTGGAGCTCTGGGCCTTCTGATATCGACACACTACCCGTCCGTCTCTCTGAACGCCCAGCAATAAAATGTCAGCGGCGCATCTAGCAAAAATATCAAATACCAACCAGACTCCTGGTTATTAAATGCTTTTTTTTATTAATCATGTGTAATCCTTCAAAGAAGACATGACCCGAAAACCATCCCTGGGAACATTTAAGAAACCCTGGAGTCAGCTTCCGAGGGTTTATCCAGAATTAGATTAAAATATCAATAAGCTATTTTTTTTAAGTGAGCATGCACATATGCATCATTTTGTAAATTTAAACAACAACCACTTAAAAATCTGGGAAGAAACCAGTAGGAAACCAGGTGGACCTAGCAGCAGCTAGGGATACATGCCCAAAGGGACCCAAAGCGTGCCTCCCAGAACCAAGGTCGAGGAGACTCAGGGTGACGTTTGGCTGTGCTGCCCGTCATTCACAGGCCCCTGTCCTGGCCGTGAGATGGGGCCTTCCTTAGGCTCCCCGCTTGTGTCTCCACACTGGACTCTGTAGTACTCCCCGAGATGGTCCTTTCCCAGCCGAGGAGACTGGAGAGCAGGATTCTTGGGACTGTCCCTCCAGCCCACGTGGCTTTTACTTAGCAGCATTTGGGGAGCACCTTGGTTCCATCCCAGCCTTCCAGAAGGCCTAGTTAGCAGAGAACTGGCAAAAGGATTTTCAGACCATTTCACCGAGTGCGCGTGTGTCGGTTTGGATATGAATGCTGGCCAGCCAGGGCTTCAGTTTTGGGGTGGGGGGTGGGTTACCAAGGGGCATTGTTGTTTCCATTTGTCCCCCTCTGGCCTTGCCCTGTCCACTGCAAGGTGGGCACAGCTGGTGCTTGTAGCCCTGGTTCCGAAGCATCGGATGGAATAGGTTTTTATTTTTGGGCCTGACGTGATGCACTGTTGACTTTCACTGGCCTTTGGAGAGGGGAGCTTAGGTCTCAAAGGTGACCAGTTACAGGGTAGCCGCTTCAGAAGTCAGGCCTGCCCACTCCGTAATGTGCAGGAAAGTGGGTGGCATTTCTATCCTTGGAAGTGGAGACCCCAAACTTTGTGCATGTTCATAAATTAAAAAACTAAAATCTGGAGTGCCAGCTTCCTTCTGTGCATGGCTCCCTCAGGTTCTGTGTCCTCCAAGGCCTTCTAGGGTGGATGTGAGAGTGAGCTAGCCACGGAGGGCGGTAGGGGGGTTTGCCTCCTGCCGGAGGCCAGTGGGTCCCCATGGAGCTTGGCCTTCCTGGGTTCTTCTTGGCTCAAGAAGACAGTTTTCGGCAGCAGGTCTGAGCCCGCCTGCTTGTCGGGTGTCCCATACCAACACGCACAAGCCCATTTTTCTGCTTGCTGCAGACCCTCTTCTTCTGATCGACATCTTATTCCTGTGGCCTTTGTGTCTGAGAAATGGTTTGAGATCTCCTGCTGACTGGCCGAAGTCTTGTTTACCTCCTGGGGGCAGGGCAGACGCCATGTGTCTGTTTTATGGTACGTACCTCTTTTTCTGGACATTGATTGATTTTTTCCCCCTTTGCCTCACCTTCCCCATCCCTGCCTTCACTCTGGGACACCTGGGAGCCCTTCTCCACATGGCAGATGGAATTCCAATAGTGCTGCCGTCCAGAGTGTGAGCCGGAGAGCTGGGCTTGTGGTCTCTCTGCTGCACTTGTTAGAAATGCCCCGGTGGGAGGGAGGGACAGACACAGAGGACCGGCCCGAAGGAAGGCCCCAGCCTGTGTGGCTGGCCGCTGGCAGAGAAACCGGGTCTCTCAGCAGGCAAGACCAGGGCAGTGGCTGTGCCGGCAGGCATCACACCTGCATCGGATGTCTCTACATCAGCGGGGAGGGCGTGGGGGAGAATTAAAATACAATTTTGGATATAAAAATAAGAGATAAGAAGGGAAATGATAAAGGAAGAAAGCAAAGAGTTGAGACATCTACTAATTTGAAGCCAGGGACCAGCACCAAAACAGGATGAATTTTCCACGCTCTGCTGGATAGGAACATTTGGTTTGCTTTCAGTGATATTAACTTTAATGCTAACGTTAAATTGCTTTCTTCTGCACCAAATCTTCCAAACACGCAGGCTGCTGGGGGGAGAAAGAACATTTCGCCCCCATGACTGCACATGCTCGACGCGCAGTCAGTAGAGGCAACCCGGGCTTTGGGCTTTCTGGTTTGTTTTTCTTTTTTGACGTTGGGTTTTCTAAGGATCCTCATTTTTTTCTCATCCACAGATACTCTGTGACATCAGATCCCTTCCCTGAGTAGGGAACTCGGTTTCTAGGACATTGTCAGTATCTGAAAATACTGCTTCTTCCTTCTGCCCGCCTCCCAATGCAGGAATCACTGTCCGAGTGGGCAGCAGGTGCTTCCCCGGGGGGCACAGGTGTGCCCCTTCAGGGGCCAGCTCTCAGCTCAGAGTCCAGGGGGAGAGGGCAGCTGGAGGAGCCTATGGCTTTCAGAAATAGAACTCAACGAGTCAGTCCTAATCCAGCCCTAATGAATCGAATGTTTGCTCCAAATCAAATCTCCAGCCCTCACTTCCTGTCCTGAAGCCAAAATGACCTGCTTAGCTTGGTGTTCAGCCATCGGGCAGAGGACTATGATTAGATTAGAATGGAAAGCACTCCTCCCTACCCGCTCGAAGGCCTTTGTTGGGGCTGTGCAGGTGTGTTAGGTAGGATGCCCTCTGTTCCCGATCATTCAAGGGCCAGATGCACCTGCATGGCCCATCCATCAGAAGCTCGTGCCTCTGACTTCCTCAGTGTGACTCACCTCATTAAGGCCAGGGACAGAGTTCCTGTTGGAGTTCCAACCAGGCTAGCAACAGGGAGCTTCTTATTAGCAGTGGAGTTCCCGCCTGCCTGGGAAACTGCAGGATGGCTTGGTGGTCACCAGCATCCCTGTTAGGATTTTAAAAATGCATAAAAGCATAAGACATTGATCTGGCCCTGCACATCGAGGCTTCTGCTCCCTTCTTTCAAGAGCTGTAGACTCATGGCCTGGAGGTGGGCATGCCCTATGCTCCAGGGAGCCCCTGCTGGTGGAGGTGGGGACAGGTGCCCTAACGTGGACTTTCAGAGGGTACTTATGGAGCACTCTTTACATCTAGGGACTCATACTGTTCTCCCAGAAATGCCACTTTACAGAGGGGAAGCTGAGGCATGAAACAGTTAAGTGACTTGCCTGAGGTCAGTCAGGTTGCAAGTGGTGTGGCCAGATCACCCCCAGGTGGCCTGGCTCTGTCCCCTGTCCCACACCCAGCCCAACCCCAAGTGGGAAGAAAGTCGGTGGCAGCTGAAGATGGGCCTTCCCAGTAAGTTGGCATCCTGGGACATTCATCTCAATTCTGCAGGGCAGAAACCACATAGACAGGAGTGCCCAAAAGCCTGAGCCACCAGCCTTCTCATCCACATTGGAACAGGGAGCCACAGCCCTGACTTAAAAAAAAAAAAAAAAGTAGAAAAAAGTGCTTTTATTGACTCTTCTGCTCCAGAAAGCTTTTGTGTCCCAGTTCTCTCTTCTAGCAACAGAGAGCATCAAAGGACCCCATGGACTATTGGTGGGCTCTCCCCATCTGCTACTTGCAGGTGGGCCCTGCCTGGACCACGTTCCTCTTGGGGTGTCTGGACCCCACCTGCCAGCTCACCCCAGCAGCTCTCTCAGGACCATCTCCATTTGTAGGAGGTGATGCATCTTGACCCATTCACTGTGGATCCCAGGTGAGCCGTCTGGGGAGATGAGGCTCAACAGGACCTACTCTGAGTCCCACCCTGAGCAGCCGCCACACCTGGGTGCTCCAGCCACCACCTGTTCCCGCAGATGCAGAACAGGAAGGCCACGTAGTCTTGTTAGCCTTTGATAAATGCTTAAAGATTCCTTCACCATGTGCCGGACAGACTGTTTATCAGTCACGGGGAGGAAAGCATTCGGATTCTAAGTATCCCTGATTCTTGCAATTAATGCCTGGACATGAGCATCGAGCGGAGAATGGTCAGGAAGATCGCTCAGATTTACTAGGGTACTTATTGTCCCTTAAATAAATAGCAATTAATACTAAAACATTTAATTAAGGTTTAAGAGCCAGCGGAGATATTTATCTCTTGCATAGCTTTTAAGCCTCTGCAAATGCATTTTTAATGATGATATAGCAGTTCGTTAGCACACCATCTTGTTGGCTCATGCTAACCCCCACACACATGTGGGACCCAAAGGTGGCCACGTTCGCTTCCCCGCAGGCAGGTGGGTGGTGGTGCCTGCACTCCGGGACACAGCACCCCAATCTGGGCAGGTGTTCACCCTGTCTTCCCTATTTGGCCTCTACAGTAGATTCCAGCAAATTCGTGCCTCAGACCACCTCCAGAGTGGCACCCGGCTGTTCTGGATGTGACACCATGAAACTGGCCTTTTCCATACTCCGTGGAAAAAGGCTGGGGACACCTGCCTGCCATTGGCTCTTGGGCTAATTTCCTGTCGTTTTTCATATAACAAGTAAACTTCAGAAAACCTCATTAGTGTTCAGATCTTTGCATTTGCCAAGGCCACTTTATTCCCCACAGAGCGCAAAAAGTAATAAAAGTTCTCGCATCTGAAGCCAGTAAGAAATAAATCATGTTTTATTATTATTTTCAAAAACACACTGAAGACATAACTAATAAAACCCGAGAAACGCACCTGAGCCTTCCCGCTTTGTTCTAAAAAATACATTAACAGAATACCCAGCTTTTGCAATTCAGAGGAACACTGTTTTCCAAGCAGCATGCAGACCACTCTGCAAACTGATCTAAACTGAGCACCAGCAGCAAGGCAAACTTGGTGGCAAAGTAGCCCTTTCAGGATGCGGAGAAATTTAACTAGCAGCCAGTGGCTCCAGGGCCCTCTTGCCATAGTCTGTTCATTGTTTTGCAAAAGCAGTCACTGATCTTTGAGCCTGGGACCCACCATGTGGTTGGCTGCTGGTGGGGCCAGGCAAGCCCACAATCTCTTTCCAGGCAGCAGAGGGCACTAGTTTCTCCAAAGTCAGAATTTATCCCAGATCCCAATCTCTCAGATCACTTTGCAAGGCGCAGCTTCTCTTTCTGGCCGGGAACCAGGTGTGGACGCCTTCGCCACGTTCCTCCAGCCAGGACGTGGGGGTGGGGGTGGAGGGGTTCTCTTGGCTATCTTTCCCAACTGGCCTGGGATGCACGTCCCTCTCTGGTCCCTCTCAGGGTCAGTGTCCAGCTGGGAGGTTCACACACCAAGCCTTGAGAACAGAAAGCCACAAGCCCTCCCAGGAGCTGAGTGCAAGCAGCAGGAACCTAGGGCAGACATGGAAGGTGGCCAGGGTAGCCTCACGCCCTCCTCCTGTCCTATCAGGGCGATGCCACCCTTGTTGGAACCCCTCACAGGGAACCCGTGAACCTCTGTGGGAAGCCAGTACTGCTCTTCAAGTGGATATTCAGGGCACAGGGCTGGAGCCATGTCCCTGTCCTTCCCTCCCTCTCTTTCTCTCTCTGCCTCTTCATCCTGAGATTTTGGGTAGAGACAGATGCCTGTAGGTTTGGAAGAGGCTCTGTCCCCGAGCAGCACAAGGACCCCTCTGTCAACCCTTGCATGAGGCTCTCCTAGTCATAATCCACCTGTAGGCAGCGTGTGAAGGTCATTTCAGGCTTTAGTCTCAAGGGCTGCAGACAAGGCTACTTCCACACAGATGCCTCTTCCCTTAGCTGCATCTAGTACTGAAGGCCCCAGGCCAGGCACAGAGCTGGAGCCCCAGCGAGCCAAGGTGGACCTCGCAGGACTTGTGACAGCTGGGGCGACACATGGCACATACACACTCAGGTGAGAGCCCGTGCAGCTCATCCTACAGGAGCATGCTCTAATAGACAAACTTGAAATAGAGATCACAGTTAGGAAAGGAAGGGACATCCAGGAAGGCCTCCCCAGGGAGGTGACCAACCACAGAAACCTGAAGGACACAGAGTCAGAGATTTGCCATCGGAGGCCAGGCAGCTGCCTGGAACATTGAGGCAAAGGGATGCAGGGCAAAGAGGCAGAAGCACTGAAGTCCCTACGGATGTCCCCCCACGAGATGGCTGGCCCGAGGGGAGGGGTGAAGCAGCGTCTGGCACCTCCATCTGTCTGGTTAAGCTCAGAATAAAGGATCAGAAAGCAGCCCTGCCAAGGTTCTCGCAGGAAACCTCTAACGCAGGACCCTCTGCCAGTGAGGAGGGGGCGCTGCTCGTCATCGTGCTGGGACAGGGGACAGCTGCTCAAACCAGACACTCACCAGGCACAGGCTTCAGTGTCTCCATGTTTTTTTGATGTACATTTCTTAAGTTTTAAGCGGCAACATGTCCATAATGTGAAACTGACCATTTTAACCATTTTTAACAGCACAGCGGCATCAAGCACGTTCACGACATCATGCATCCATCACCACCACCTGTCTCCAGAACCTCCTCATCGTCCCAAACTGAAACTCTGACTCCATGAAACACCGACCGCCCCCCAACCCAAGCCCTTCCCCCAGCCCTGGTGCCTCCTTCTCCTCTCGGGCTCTATGCTTTTTGCTCCTCTAGGACCTCATATGAGTGGAGTCATAGAAGATTTGTCTCCACATTCTTAGCTTTCCAAAAACTAGAATGAAGATAGACACACAGGAGGGACATCTCTCTCTGTTATAATGGCTTCATTTTTTAAACCCCCACCCCCACCCCATCCTAGAAAGTGGAGGTGAGCAAGTGCAGAGCACAGCTGGAGAACAGCTGCCGAGGGTGGTGGCACCCATCTGGTGAGATGTCCTGTTTCTTTACACAACATGACACACCCCCACCCCCTACCCCCACTCACAGTGGAGTGGGCAGCCCCACAAGAGATGAGTAGATGTTCTATTCAGGCCTCCTGGACTTGCCCAAATGTGTCGTTTGGAGGTGAGGAGGCCCCCAGGGGCCCTGCCTTCATATCCAGACCAGGAGGGTTCCTGGAAAGGAAATGAACCCCCACACCCCCTGCCCAGGTGGAGGAGACTGTGCTCAGGCTCCCGGTACAGAGGGGTCTGAGTTCCTGCAGCCTGAAGCCTGAAGATGTGCCCTCCACCCCGCCCCAGCCTGGGTGCCCTGAAGCCCTTATTCCTGGGGAGGATCATCCCACGGGCTTGACTCAGGATGAAGAACCCTACCCCCTAGTCTGTTGAGAAAGGAGTAATGAGCCCAGGCCGGGCACGTGATCAGAGTCTCCCGGGGAGCTTGCAGAAACCATCTTCACAGTTCCCACCCTGAGGAGCAGGGCGGGTGCAGGACCCTGTTTTCCAAAGTGCTCAGCTCAGCCTATGACTAGGATGGGGCCAGGCTGGCCGCTGTGCCGGGAGGTGCTACGGAGATGCGAGAGCCCCAGCCGTGTCCTTCTGTGTTTCATTTTAGAATTGTTGCCTCCATTCTAGTTGTGTCATCAGCATAGATGAGGGTGCAGTGTCACCCCCCTTTATGCTGTTTGCAGGTCCTCATTTCCTGTAACTGTGGGTGCAGAGGGCTCCAAGTGACAGCAGAGAGAAACAATGCCCCCTCCTTCCAGCAACAGCGCCTCCAGGCTGAGCCGTGACGTGCTCCAACACCCACCACCATGCCCAGAACAGCCGTAGCTCCCTGACTCTCTGGGAGATGCTGGCCTCTGAGATCTGTCACGGGGGCGGGAAGACTTTGGGGTTCCTACTTTCTGAGGCTATGCCCGGGCTGGGTAAGAGCCGCCCCTCCTTTGCAGTCAGCTAACTTGGCCTGCAGGCACATGTGACTCACCTTCTTCCTGTTGTCAGCAAGATCACCTCTTGGGGAGACCCAGGACGTGGTTTTTCTGATGCAGTCCATGAATCTCTCCAAGTCCCAGCCTCACTGAGCCTCCAGCTGAGCAGTGGAGTGAAATGGACTCTGTTGCTTCCCACCATCCATAAATGGAGTGGGCAGCACCTGCGCTCTTGGCGGGTAGGAGCTGGAAAGGGACTCAGCGTGGTGCTAGATGCGCTCAGTCCCGCAGGCTTGGGGTGCGTGGCGCCCTCATAGTTAATGCAGGGGTGGTCCCAGCCCCTCTTAGGAAGCGCAGGCTCACTCCTGATGTGGGCAGAAGAAACAGCCCCTTCATCAATTACTATGATTAGCACGAGGTCCCTGGGACTCCTCGCATGTGCACCAATTCCTGGTGCCCAAGGCTGGCAGACACCCTGCCTGCTTGGGGACACTGGTGTCTGTAAGCCAGCGAGCAGCCTGGGGCTTGGTTGCAGAGGCTCAGAGGGGCTGCACAGACTCATCCTGCCCTTGGCTCCCTACTATTTAATCTCTTCTTGTTTTCTTTCCACACAGGATTCCGTTGGTGAACCTGTAAAAAAAAAAAAAAAAAAAAAATTTAAATTAAAAAAAAACAACAACAACAACCACACACACAAAACCTAAAACTAAACTTTCTACGGGGAGGGTCCCCATACCTACCGCTTCAGTTTGCCGGTGGGGAGCTCAAAGAGCAGGACGCTATAGGCCAAATATATTTTTATAAAAATGCTCACGCCTATGGGGGACTGCCTTCTGCCAGAGTTTTCTTTGGAGAACAGAAAGAAGAAAAGCAAGAAAGAAGCTGGAGACAGAGAAGGCCAGCAGGAAGCACCTGAAGCCTGGGATTTGTACTGATTCTGAACCTGTGCCAATAATACCATTATGTGCCATGTACTGACCCGAAAGACTTGGTGACCAAGCCGAAGCCAAGCGAACCACGCGTAGAAATCTTACAGAAAATGGGGGGTGGGAATCTTCCAATAGAGTCGCTATTTCTGGTTAATATACATATATAAATATATAAATACACACAGACACACACACACACTTTTTTTGTACTGTAGCAATTTTTGAATATCTTCAATGTTCCTTTTTAAAAAAATGTTATCGGTTACAAAATCTGATTTATTTAACATGCTTAGTATGAACAGAATAAACTGGTGTTTTCTACTTTGGCAACATATCGCACACACAGGCACACACATGCACACATACCCACACACAAACACGTACACGCATATATATGCATCTATTGGAAATGCAGTTCCACGAGTGAGCACATTCCTTCTGGTGACCTGGTATCCCATTGCCATCCATCCGGGGGATAGCCTGGACCCACGCAGACAGACCCCTCAATGACACATCCTGCATTTGCTGGTATTTGGTGAGTGGCACTAGATGTATAATTTATTATCTTGGGCCAGAATTAAGAATGCCATGGTTTTATATACATACATATATATAGAGAGACACATAAATACGATCTTTTTTCATCTAATTGTTTGAAGAAGCTACCTAACAGCCACGCACACATTTATGTAGCCAGCTGCTTACAAATGGGGCTGAGCGTCAGATTGGGTGGGTGGTGGATTCCTGACCATCTTTGTGTTATACAAGCATAGACCGAATTAAAGAAAATTTTCCAGTTCCAAAAATTAAAGGAATATATCCTTATAATGTGTGTGCGTATGTCAGAACAGAACCCAAAAATATACAAGGGCCCCAGTTTGTTTGAAAAGGAGGAATCATTCCATGTGTGAGGGACCCAGGCTACCCCCATGGGAGCTGTGCCCTGGCGTGTTTCACTTCTCTTCCACACACATTGGTGGACAGGTTGCTGCTCTTTCTAGAACCCAAGCATGAGTTTGAACCTTGATGGGGACTGTAGCAGAGAGGCTGTGTCTCTTGCTGGTGCTGGTTGATCAACATTTGTGTTTTGCCATCAAGAATCCTACAATGGGGCTTCCCAGTGGAAATAGGGGCTTGAGGCTGGAGCCTTGTGGAAGGGAATCCCAACCACACATACTTTGTTGGAAATACTGCCATGTCTGGGGCAGGCAACTCCCTCCCAGTCCCAGCCATATAACAGTGCCCTGGTGCCCCATTGTGCGGCATGTAGGGGCACTGTAAGGGATGGAAGGCTCCATTGGATCTTGTTTTCTCCTCACAGGGATCCCAGATTAGGTGCATGTGACCTGTCTTCTATGGATGGCCCGCATGTGACTATGATTTCACCAGTAGGGTGTGCGAACCCATCTCGTGAAATGACCCGCAAACCAGGTCAAAAGGTTGAAGGTTAGGTGGGCAGTTAGCCTTGTGCCCACTTCTTGGCCAGGCTGGTGACCTCTTTCTTCCATCAGACTCAGTTCCCCTCTAGAACACCTTGAAATGTACTTCTGCATCTCCTAGCATATGGGGGGGGAAAGCGATGCCAGGGGAGAGGAAGACCATAGTGCTAGGTCTATTTTGTTTGGAATGGCTTACCATCTGGGAAAGTCCGATTCTTGGTTTTGGTTTTGGTTTTGTCATTTCCCAAAGCTTCAGCACTTATGGAGACAACACACACACCTGCCACTAGCTCACCTGCATGGCATTAGAAGGCACACATTTCCCCATCCATCATCCATCTCATTACCCTCAGGTGGCTGGAGGTGGCATGGAGGCCCTCCTGACTCAGGTGGGCACAGCTTGGTGTGAGCATGAGGCAAGAGCTGTCTGTGCCTACTAGGGCAATGGAAGCTGCTCTCCACTCTCTGACACCCTGAGCCAGGGAGCCTGGCTGAGAAGGAGGTAATGGCAGGGTATCTGTTTGCTCACTAACAGCAGGAACCTGGGATTCCTCATGACACCACAATTTGGTGTCCATACCTCTGACTGCTGCTCAACCCCTTCCTCAGACCTCGGGTTGCACTCCTGATGCCTGAACTCTTTCCAGAATGCCATGTGATGCTGAGCTTTTGAAGGAAACTTACGATAACAAAGCTCCCCACCCCACCCCAACACATACATAGTCCCAGCCCACTGGGCACATGCTCAGGACGGGACTGGGTGCTGCACACACGCACGGCCAAGAGATGCCTGCACATTCCCCACCAGGAAGTCTGTTCTGAGTTGACATCTGTCAAAACAAATCCAACTCAGTGAAGGCTACTGTTTCATGATGATGGAGGGAGTGTGTGTAGGGATTTTAGTTTTTAAATGGTCACCTGGAAACGTGGAAGCATCATCTCTATACAAGAGGATAGTAGAAGCAAGTGAACAGGCTTACAGAATTCAGCTGTCCCAGGAGAACGTCTATAAAGTGAGATAGCACAGGATTTCCAGAGTCAGGACCTGCGCACACACGTCCTGCATGGTGTGTGTCCATGTGGTGGGTGTGGCCGTGCCCCTGCAGTGGAAGTGGGGGGCATGCTCTGCTCTGCCCACTGCTCTCCTCAGCCTCCTGCAGGCCTGCAGTGCTCCACCAGAGTTCCATCTGCCTGGTCCTTAATTTGCTGTAGATATTTTTTCCCTCAAGAAAAGCACTCAGAGGAAGAGCCTTACAGTTTGGTAAGTCCTCCAATTTTTGTTCATCTCTATTTCATCCCTGAGGTGACTGAAATCCAAGGTCAAGGCCCCTGCCGGCACACAGAGCACTGTCCATCATCTACTGTTTAAGTTTTTGGAACTGGGCTGGGTGTTGGGCACTCTGCTGTCTAGTCAAGTCTGTTTCTAGGCTTAATTACTTCTAATCTTTGTGCATTTGTCATTTTTATCTGGTTGAAATAATGAGTATAATTACTTTTGTTGACAAGCTCTGAGTGCCAAGGGGAAGGGGCTCCAGGCTCGGCTGGGAAGGCTTCCTGGTCATTCCCCACTGGGCTCGAATTCCAGTAACATCTAGGGCAAAGCCCAGCCATGTGCCCACTGCATTTGTCTCCTCGGCTACAGCCTGCTTTCACAGGGTGTGGAAGTGTAGGGACCCCTGGGGCACATCAGAGGGCTGTTAGTCTCCACAATCCATGTCCTTGCACGGTAAGGACACACCACTTAGGAAGCCTTGAGTTTTCCCAAGTGTGTCTGGTCCTTCCCCATCCTGAATTTGGGTGGACATCTCATGCTGCATTTGACTAGATATTTATTTTAATCCTTCATGGAGCATTTGAAACTTAGGAACATGGACTTACCAGCAAATCCCACCAACTCTGAATTTGACCCCTGAGAATTCAGTAGTTACTCCCATGACTTTGACATCTTCGAGCACTCTTCCTTCTTACAGATACATTGCTCTTTCTCAGCCACATTTCAGCACCGAGCAGAATCTTCTGTATAGGCTTTGGTCTTTTGAAATTTCGTGTGAGGACGTCCATCCCCATTTGTCAAAGGAAATGCACATATCAGAGAATTGACCCTTTTGCCTTGTAAGTCTCCATTTGACTCTTATTGTCCGAGGAGTTATTCCATCTTTTTTTGCTTCTTTCCCCAGATTGTCCAGTCTCATCAGCAGCTCAGGAAGCTGGGCTGACCCCAGTCTCTTGGGAGATAAGACGAGGAGCCAGGGCTGAGGTTCAAAGTCGGGACCTGCAGCCTTGTCAGGTCAGGCTGGGTCTTCCCATAACTTACATCAATCCATACCTTTCTTTGTCTGTATTGTGACACTGTCATCTTGTCTCATCAAGGAGGTCCCAGCATGAGTGAGTGTCGGCACCCCCCTGAGCTGTCCTTCCACACACTGCCCTGTCTCCACCCAGTCCCCCCACACATCACAGTGGGGAAGGGCACTGAGGCCACCCTTGTTTCACCGCATGAGCCCCTTAAGAAGACACTATTCACAGAGGCAGTTGGAAGAGAAGCAATTCTTTGTGGCTTGCCTGAATTTGTCATTCATCTGCTCATGCAAAGACTTGAACTTCTGTTATGTTGGCCACATGGTGAAGAGCAAGATGGACACGATCCTACCCTAATGAGTTTTGCTTTCTACTCTGGGAGGAGGCAGATAATTAACATAGAATAAAAAATTAATGATTTCCAGAGAAAGAGATATGTGACAGGAAGAGAATGGGGCAAAATGATAGCAGGAAGAGAAGGCAGGGCTGTTTGTGTCTCCTGGGAACCGTCACTTGCTTAAGGAGGGCTGGTTTGGGGTTGAAGTGACTAAGGAAACCTTGCTCCTACCTTCTGGATGAAAATGCAGTGCAGTACCGAAGAGGAGATGTCCCAGTCATTACAAACCATCCACCTAATTTCCCCCCAAACCCCTCACCATTCTGGCAGGGAGTGGCCCTGCAGGGGAAGCAGAGAAGCAAGATGATGAACTTCCCTCTCCCTTGACCACTGCCTCTCTCCATGGACCCTTCCTGTGCACATATGTACATTGCCAAGTCTTACTTAGGTCAACCAATTCTCAAGGAAGACACAGGAATCCAAGGACAGAGACGCAGCCCATTGGGGACTGGGGGGCCCAGAGAGAGTCATTCCTCCTGGTATGAGAAGAGAAGGCAGCTGCCTTTTCCAAAGCTCACCCTCAATACTGATCACACTTAGCAACGTACTTCTTAAACAACATCTGCTTTTAAGTAAGCAGATACTCCAAAACACGCCATGATTCATGTAATTTTGGAATGGTTATTTTGGTGCAGTTTGTCAATTTGCTATGCCATACTGTTTTTTGATCGTTTGTTTGTTTTCCAATGTAAATAGCACAGCCCACATAAATGAGCAAAACTCTCACCATCTGAGAGTTTTTGATTATTCTTCCTGACTTATTTTACATCGATGTGCTTCCGGCTATGAAGACAAACTTGCTCTTCATCCCCTACTCTGAGCCAAGATTTTTGTGTTAGTTACACTCAGCATAATTTGTGGGGTTTGGGCGAGGTCTTAAATAGTTGTTTGACATTTTGAAATATGCTGCCTGCCCTTCCTTCCAAAAAGTGTGGAGCATGGTTGTGTATAGTTTTGCATTTTGGGGTTAGATTTTCCATTCGATTACACTCGAAGTGGGTAAATAGAAGTGTGGGCAGAGAATCATCATTGTTTAGATCACCCCAGTCATCAAGCAAACAGAAGTAAACTTCTTTTATGACCTCAGATGATTCTAGAATGATCTCAACCAGCAAACACAGGATACTCAATTTCTAGAATTCAAATCAGTCACTGTGTGAGCAGACAATCCCTGGCTGAGGAATCAACTCTGCACAATCTTTCCTCCTGCCAAAGGGCCATTAGTAATGCTTGTGCTTAATTAGAGTAGCTGCCACACCAGAACAGACAGCCAGGCTCTGATGTGTTTGTACATACTCCCCTCCACTCCATTTCACTTTGGTTGGAGGGGGTTAAACACACAGGCTGCAGCAGAGGAGAAAGCTGTGCATGCATTGGCACCATGAGTGCAGAACAACCCAGGAACAGGAGGACAGATGCTTGTCATGGGCTCTTTAAGGCAGTAGTGCATGGACAGCAGGCACGTGGAGGCAAGCAGCTTCTCTCCATGGATTTTCAGACATCATGCCAGTGACAGGTCTACACTTCACCCTTGTAATTGCACAGCCCATGCCCAGATGTAAAGGCAACTGAAGAGAATAGTCAACTTGGTTATAATATGTGTCTGTGTTGGAGCTGGAATGCTAAAATAAATCTTTCCATTGCATTTCCCACTTGATGGATTCTTTGTCAAATG